ACTGGCTCTGATCATCCTGCTGGGATTCAAACCCAAGCCCTTGGCAGGGGAAGTACTGAATGACTACGCCACTTACAACATATTAGGCATTCACAGTATCTTATGCACATCATTAGTTTCAAAATATTTGGTAAATGAGCTGACCCAATGAGATACTGCTTATGTGTTCTTCAAAAAATCAGCACAAGAAGCAGACCAAAGAAATCTCCCTACTGTTGCCTTATGGAAACTCCAAGAAAGGATGTTTGCCAAAGTCTGTTGTAAAGATGAAAACCGCTACCTCCACGGAGTGGTGATGGGTTACCTGTATCTTTGTTCTGCAACATGAATCATAGAGTATCATACCAAGGTGCAAGACGTATGAGAAAAAAATCATCTATAATTAGACTTCCAATTTATTTATTTATTTATTTTTTATTTTTTATTTTTTGAGTTGGATTCTCACTCTGTCACCCAGACTGGAGTGCAGTGGCTGCTCCCGGCCACCGCAGCCTCAGCCTGCTGGGTTCTGGCGATCCTTCCACCTCAGCCTTCCGAGTAGCCGGAATTACAAGCGTGCGCTACCACGCCCAGCTAATTTTTTGATTTATTGTAGAGATGAGGTCTGCGCCTGCCCAGGCGGGTCTCAAACACACGGGCTCAGGCAATCCACTCACCTCAGCCTCCCAAAAGCGCGAGATTACAGGCTGAGCCACCGAGCCCGGCTTAGACTTCCAATTTAATAGGAGAGACAAGTAACACACATGGAGCAATTGGCACAACGCCGAAAAATCCATGCATAATTAAATCAATGGCAGAGCAGATAACTAGTGTAGAGGTCACACAAGAAGAGCTGTCAGCTCTGAAGTGTCCTAGAATTCGGAAGGTACAAGAAACAGCACTTGGAGATTACCAAGCCCAACTCTAGCAGTTCAAGATGAGAGCTAGTACCTCGGTTGAGATCACATGGCTGCTAAGTAACAGAGGCAGGCGGAGGAACCAAGGAAGCCTTGATGAAGCCATTAGTCATGGAAAAGTCTTCCAAAGAAGAGTAGAGTGAAGTGATGGCACTTTAGATGAAAACAACGGGCAATGTTCTTCCTGCCTGGTGTAGCAAAATCAACCTGCCGCCAGTCTGATTTTTAGACTCCAAGATGGTGAACAGTCTGCACTGAGCGTTCAAATTAAATGTTTAAAATAATCTAAAAATATTGAACAGGAAATGGAATGGTTTTATTCCATTCATCATTTTCAAACATGAAGTATTTTAACGTATATTGAACTTCACCCACAATATTACCAAACACACCTGTCTACATATACATGCCAAGTTACTTTAGAAGTGATGCCACTGGTTTACTTCGAGCGCATCTGTCCTAACGCATCTGACTTGGAAGCAGGCATCCGATGTTGTAAACTACTAAGGAGGAAATAATTATTTGTTCAACTGCATGCTTCATCACTGACATACTGCTAAAGTTTACATTTAAAGCACCAGTAAAGCCGGGCTCGGTGGCTGAGCCTGTAATCCCGCGCCTTTGGGAGGCTGAGGTGAGTGGATTGCCTGAGCCCTCGGGTTCGAGACCCGCCTGGGCAGCAAGACCTCATCTCTACATAAATCAAAAAATTAGCCGGGTGTGGTAGCACATGCCTGTGTTCTGGCTACTTGGAAGGCTGAGGCGGAAGGATCGCCAGAGCCCAGCAGGTCGAGGCTGCGGTGGCCGGGAGCGGTCACTGCACTCCAGTCTGGGCGACAGAGTGAGACTCCAACTCAAAAAAAAACCAAATAAATAAAATAAATAAATAAATAAAAATAAAGCACAAGTATATCAGGCAAGGTGGCTCACTCCGGTAATCCCAACACTTTGGGAGGCTGAAGCGAGAGGATTGCATGAGCTCAGAGGTTCAAGACCAGCCTGGGCAACTGGGGCGTAGACCTCATTACTACAATATATCAAGAAAAATTAGCTGGGTGTGGTGGCACATGCCTGTAGTTCCAGCTACTTAGAAGGCTGAGGCGGAAGGATCTCCTGAGCCCAGCAGGCAACAGAGACGTTGACTCAAAAAAAAATTACTCATGTAAAATCTGTCAGTCATCAGCAAATAAAAATGTGCTTAACTCTAAGTAGATTTCTCTTATCATACCTAAATATCAACTGATTGAGCAATATTTATTTATTTATTCATTTTTTATTTTTTGAGTCGTAGTCTCCCTGTTAACCAGGCTGGAGTATAGTGGCACACTCGTGGCCACTCTAGCCTCGATCAGCTGGGCTCAGGTGATCCTTCTGCCTCAGTCTTCCAAGTAGCTGGAACTACACACATATGCCACCATGCCCAGTTAATTTTTTACTTATTGTAGAGATGAGGTCTCACCATGTTGCCCAGCTGGTCCCGAACCCGTGGGCTCAGGCAATCCTCGTACCTCTGCCTCCCAAAGTGCTGAATTACAGGTGTGAGTCAACATGCCCAGCTAAGTTAAACCGTTTTAACTAAGAAATTTTCATAATGACTCCTCAAATCATGTAAAATGTATTTCAAAAATAGCTGTTCAAATCTGAGAGAGGAAAACATGGTGGATAATGAAAAGCCAATTTTGATGGATCCTTTTTAAAAATTTATAGATAATATAATGGTCAATAAACTTTTTTAAAAAATCACTTTATCAGCTGGGCTCGGTGGCTCAGCCTGTAATCCCGCGCCTTTGGGAGGCTGAGGTGAGTGGATGGCCTGAGCCTGCGGGTTCGTGACCCGCCTGGGCAGGCTAGACCTCATCTCTACAATAAATCAAAAAATCAGCCAGGTGTGGTAGCGCGCACCTGTATGTAGTTCCAGCTACTCGGAAGGCTGAGGCAGAAGGATCACCGGAGACCAACAGGTCGAGGCTGCGGTGGCCGAGAACGGCCACTACACTCCAGTCTGGGTGACAGAGTGAAACTCCAACTCCAAAAAAAAAAAAAAAGTTCACTGACTTGAGGAAGTACTAAGAAAGATTGTTTTCTAAACAAAAAATGAGAGTTGCAGATTGAAAGTTCACCCATGAAAAGTCAAAACTTTAAGCCTGGGTCATACAATGATTAGGTTGATGATGTGTTCTTCCCATGTTGTGTAGGGCCCCAGACCAAGAAAATAATAAAATAATTGTTTCAAAACAAATAAAACACCTTGGATTTCAAAATTTAAAAAATCACTTTATCACTTTTTTTTTTAAACATATTTTTTGGGGGATTGGAGTCTCACTCTGTCACCCAGACTGGAGTGCAGTGACATGCTCACGGCCACTGCAGCCTTGACCTGCTGGGCTCAGGCAATCCTTCCACCTCAGCCTTCCAAGTAGCTGGAACTACAGGCACGCGCCACTACGGACAGCTAATTTTTTGACTGACTGTAAAGATAAGGCCTCGACAAGTTGCCCAGGCTGGTCTCACACCCATGACACAGGCAATCCTCTTCCCTCGGCCTCTCAAAGTGCTGGAATTATAGGCGTGAACCACCACGCCTCGTCAAATTTTTTATTTTTTAGAGACATGGTCTTGCTATGTTGTCTAGGCTGATTTTGAACTCCTGTGCTCAAGCAATCCTCTGCCTCGGCCTCTCAAAGTCCTGGGATTACAAACTTGCCACCACCGTACTGGCCTACGTGGTCACCAAACTTAAAACAACTAAGATTTTTATTTTGTAATGAATGCAAACCACTTTAATTCCTGACACAAAGCACACAGACAGATAGTTATACTTTTCTGTATTTTAAAATAATTCCCAAAGCCGGGCTCAGTGGCTCAGCCTGTAATCCCGCGCCTTTGGGAGGCTGAGGTGAGTGGATTGCCTGAGCCCGCGGGTTCGAGACCCGCCTGGGCAGCGAGACCTCATCTCTACAATAAATCAAAAAAATCTGCCGGGTGTGGTAGCACATGCCTGTAATTCCGGCTACTCGGAAGGCTGAGGCGGAAGGATCGCCGGAGCCCAGCAGGTCGAGGCTGCGGTGGCCTGAAGCGGCCACTGCACTCCAGTCTGGGTGACAGAGTGAGACTCCAACTCAAAAAAATAAATAAATAAAAATAAATAAAATAATTCCCAGCTGGACACAGTGGCACATTACTGTAATCTCAGCACTTTGAAAGGCTGAGGCGGAAGGCCTGCTTAAGTCCATAAGTTCAAGACGAGCCTGGGCAACATAACAAGACCTCATCTCTTTAAAAACAAAACAAAAACAAAAGTAAAAAAAATTTTTTTTTAAATAATTCCTATGGATTTGCAAGCACAAGTTAAAGCTCAGATTAGTCTTTCTCTGTCTCCAAGCTATTGTTAGTGTACTTTCAATTCCTCAAAAGTTATTTCAAGTGATGTTATAGCCTCAATTAAACATAGATCATTCAAGCTAGCAATACTAAACAAAAAATACAGTTCTCTTTCATTATATTTTAGCTATTTTCATTGCAAACTCCAGTACAATTTGTTAATGTAAATCAGAGAATAACTAAAATGTGGTTTCAAAAGAAGGAAAATAGGTTAATAAATCACAGATAATCAATATTGAGTCAGCACTTAATACTGGTTATCTATCCTGACTTTTTAATATTTATATTAAAGCCATTTTCTAACAAGTACCAAAAACAAAAGAAAATAAAAATTCAGGTGCTACATTACAACCTTATCCCTGACAGCCATAGCCAAATTTGCTGTGTGGCTTCAAAGTTCCACATAAAACCTTAACTTTCAATCTTAACATTACAGATCCACAAAATACAAGTATCAGTCACCCATAGTCATAGGTCTTAGAAACTTTAAATCTGTGCAGAAAAGCTAAGAGTCAAAAAGAGATAAAAAGAGAAAATGAAAAGCAGGGCAAAGTGAAGACGTGTTATGCCGTTTGCCAAATATCAAACTTGTACAAAAATCCAAAACCTATTCAACAATTTCCTGATATCAGACAGAATAATCTCTATGCAAAAGGTGAATGTTTGAATGCTACTAGCATTCCATTAGCATGTATTGAATCGATCAGCATGTATTCTACTTACTTTGCTTTTTGCCATGTATAAGCTTCATTAAAGACACCCACAAAGAAGGAATCAGTTGAATGAGGCTCGGCTCGGATAAGAACGAGTTGTAAACACGACCTACAAATTTACATCCCAGAAAGTCCTGCGGGGAAGGTACACTTTCCAAACCACCACTATATATACAAACTTTAGATTGTGAAATAACGCACTTCGGCTTTCTGCCCTGTACATTACAATTATAAACCCTCAACTCTACCTCCCTCCTCCTCCTCGGAAAAAAAAAAAAAAAATCCATCGCTAATCTTCATTGGTCCACAGAGTTCCGGCCCACATGGTATCAGTGGGTGTGTTCCTCCCCAAAGGCCCTCTCATTGGCTGCGAAGAAACAGCGTTTAATAGGCTGTGATTTTGGGGGGTTGTCAAACTCCGCGCCTCCAGACTGGCGCTCTCCAGTAGACCCGAGGTGCCGGCGGCTACTCTGCGATTCAAAGGGCAGGCTGGTTGTCTCAGCGGCGATCCCAACGAGACGCGCTGTGAGAAGGGGGAGGTCACCCTCGGCTGTGCAGCCGCGCTACCCCCACTCCTGGACCCCACCAAACGTCCACACACAGGCATTTTCCCAGCGACCAATTAGAAAGGCAGACCGTGCGCTCGCCTTTTATGGCGCCTCGACCTAAGGACCAGATCCGGCTCCGTGTCCAATCGACCCATTCTGCGGACAGGAGCGAGCAAAGGGCCGGCC